CTTGTAAAAACAAGCTCAGGTACATAAGGTCTACTACGTGCACTTAAGGTTTCCATGTGTTTCCAAGAATATTTATGTGAGATATGTCATTACCCAGTTGTTTGACTCACCCAGTCAAAGAAAATTAAGTCTTAAAACAAATGCTTAAATACTGCCTTTCAATTATCTAGTAAAGAGGTTAGTATCTCTCCCTACTACATAATCCTGATCACAAATTAAAAAGCAAACACTGTACATGTCGAACGAGGCTTTATCTCTTTAAATTGGGCAGTAAAGTAGAATGTTCAGATGGGCACAATTACCATCCCTCCCCTTGGAGAATGAAGAGAAAGGAAATGATACAAAATAATGTGGGAATATTTGACTGGTATTCACATTCTAGCTTGTAAACAATTTCTAATTCACTTGCCTAGATAGTTAACCATCAGTCTGGATGTAAAGAATTTAAGCCCAACCAAGAAACAGGAAGCATCGGCTTTGTCACAGGCGCTTTTATTTTGGTGGCTCACATCTGCAGCTTTCTGTCTTCAATGCATCCTTTCAGAGCCAAAGTGAGAAGGGAACACAGTTACTGGGCCCAAATCCATCACCGTAATTGTGATGAGCTGCACACCCACAGCATCTTTAGAAGGAAGTTACAGCTTCGTGATAAAGAACTCCAACCCATATGGAAGCAAAATCTAGAAGGAAAGGAACAGTCTATTCAACATGATTGACTTTATTCAGTATAGCTCACGACATCCAGGATCGAGCTGGTCACACTCAGTTTAGAAGCAGCATGTCTAAGTGGATGTGTTCAGACTGACATTCCAAAGCATCTGGTGTCCTTCTGGGAGTCCAACATCAGCACTGAATCCTCCCGGTGTCATCTTATGCTGCTGATGAAATTACTTTCAAATAATCAGAACTGTGACTAAACACTGAACGCCGCAGAAGTGGAAGGCAAAACTGCCTTAAAAAAAACTACAAATCCAGAAGTCTACATTTCTCAACATCAGCCTTGACAACTACACTGCATGAATCCAAATCCTCTAATGGGAAAATATCCCCTTATACACTGAATTCTTGTAGTCTAGAACAGGGTCAACAAACTACCGCCTGCATGCCAAATCTGGCTGGCTGTTTCTTTTTGTAAATAAAAGTTTTACTGTATACACTGTTTCTATTAAAGACAGATCAAACCCATTAAAAAAAAAAGTTTTATTGGGACGCAGCCAGGATTACTCTCTTAGGAATTATCCGTGGTTGCTTTTGCACTACAAAGGAAAAGTTAAATAGCTGTGACAAGAGATTGTTGCTGCTGTTTAGGTGCTAAGTTGTGTCTGACTCTTTGCAAACCCCATGAACTACAGCATGCCAGGACTCCCCGTCCTTCAGTATCTCCCAGAGTTTGCTCAAACTCATATCCATTGAGTTGGTCTGCAAAGCCACATTACCTGGCTCTTTATGGAAAAAATCTGTTCACCCGTGGTCTAGAGTGATGGGTCCTTGCTTTATGAAACTGGGTTCTGGATCAAAATTATTTTGTCCTCATTCTGTAATTCCTCACTGAAGAACCAGAACTTGAGGCTTTGGGTTGGCCCAAAGACAGCCCAACCCTCCACTTGGAAGCACTGCAGGAACAGGTCCAGGTGGCAACCCTGCAGAGCCGAACACATGCCTGTTTTTCTTCTGCCCGTGAGACAGATGGTCCTCAGAGAAGGGAGAAGAATTAGTCCATGAGAGAGAATTCTCCATGCAGCACTAATTTTGGAAATGTATCCCTGATCCATCTGGCCAAAGAGGATTCCTCAGGAGTACCTTTGCTTTTTGAATCGGTTTAGCATTCAGGAGGGAAACCCTAGGTACCAAGGCTAGAATCTCAGGTACTTGCTCTCTGTCAAAATGTGAGTGATGCATTCCAACACTGCCCCTGAGACAAGGTATCTCAAAAAATTGTAAGGGCAGAAGATGATGATACGGATGAAGACAACAAGAACAGCTAATACCCATCTAGAGGTCCCATTTCAAAGAATTTGTTCACTCTTCTTACAAATAAATTATCCCCCGGGGAGGAAGATAACACCCAGATATTTGTGCCATGTGCAGAAAGCAGGAGTGGCAATATTTACTGTCAGATCTGCTACCAGCTGCTCTCCCCTCACACAGCAATGCCATTCCTCTCCTTCACTGCCCTAGCTCACTTTTGCTACTGACCTTGTTGTTCTGAAGAGTAACAAACCATTCCTTTGCTAAGTTAATTATCCCAGGAAAACTGAAGTTTTCCTCCATTTCCTTCCTAATTCTACTCCACAGTGTAGTGTATACATTGTGTCTGTTTTGTCTCTAAGTGAGGAAGAGATAAAATTAAGAGCTGACAAAGAAGAAACAAGAGCATTAAGGACAGCAACTCAAAATGAATTCTTTCCAGCAAGTCTCAGTTGACAGGCTTTTGAAGTCTGATGGACTTAAGTTCAAGTCCCAACTCTACCATTTACTATTTGAATAATCTTGGGGTCCTCCTCTATGAAACAAAATAATAACCAATTTACCTGTGGAGTTATCTCTAGAAGAACTGAATGAAAATGCATATAAATAGGTAACAGTGTCTGCTTCATAGTAAGTTCTTCATATGTACTTAAGTACTTAATATCTATTTAAGAATCATTACTGAGCAAAGTTCCTGCTAAGAGCACAGTGTTTGTTACAGACAGAAACACAAGCAGGCTAGGCAAGAAGTACAAGGGGAAGATTTCTTTCTTGACTTTCTTTTAAGCCAAACACTTGGGAGACAAAGGCAAATTCTCAGTAGAAAAGATGGTATTCTACTTTCGCTATTCTTATCATGAGCAAAACTGAAACACTCCCAACCTTTCATGTGGTTTGGTTCAAAAACCCTCTGTGAGGCTACTTGAGAGTCTGACACAGCACTCCAACATTACCTCGTGAGGGTGTGACATCGTTCCTAACTGGCAGCTCCTGCAGACGATGCTATGTCACATACACTCATCAAGAAATAGTCACCTGCCCAGCATTATCTAGGCAGAGTGGGTTGTGAAATGAAGAGCTCCTTTGACAAAGAGAGTGTAAGTAGCTGTTCAGTTTCAGTTCAGTCGCTCAGTCGTGTCCAACTCTGTGACCCCATGAACCGCAGCGCGCCAGGCCTCCCTGTCTATCACCCACTCCCGGAGTTCACCCAAACCCATGTCCATTGAGTCGGTGATGCCATCCAACCATCTCATCCTCTGTTGTCCCCTTCTCCTCCTGCCCTGAATCTTTCCCAGTATCAGGGTCTTTTCAAATGAGTCAGCTCTTCACATCAGGTGGCCAAAGTATTGGAATTTCAGCTTCAACATCAGTCCTTCCAATGAATATTCAGGACTGCTGTAACATTAGTGAAATACAATCACCCATCCTCATGCAGTAAAGCACTTAAACTCAGTCTAACAAGATTTTCTTAACAACACACTCTTTGTTTACAAAATCTAAAACTGTTAACACCTTCTACATGAGATCTCTAGACACATGGACAAAATGCAGGAACAGAGAGACAAGGAATAAATAATAAACAGAGGAGCAAGGGTGCATTTCAGGAAACAGGCTGGGGATGAAAGTGACAAAGGGCTTCTATACATGAAAATCAATACCTGAATCATATCTGGAAGGAAGAAGGTAGCCAGGACAGACTCAGCAGCTGCAAAGACTTCCAGCTGCCGTTAATCTCACAGAGCTCACCTCTGGGCCACTCCCTGAAAGCAAAGGAAGAATCCAGCTCCTCTCACCAAATGCTTCTCTTTCTCCAGGCTCCACGGGTTTGGGTTACATTCTGAGCTCACTTTCACCCATGTCGTGAGCTAATTACAAAGAATCCAGAAATGTGGCAATGAAGTGGGAATACTGTAGGCTGCTTTAACAAACCTTAGCACCATCTGCTGAAATATTAAGATGCTTGTTTTAAAAGCTGACTGCCAGAGAAGGAGGTCACAGCCCTGACAGTGGGGGAGTTCTCTTTAATAATTACTTTTTATTTCTGTTTCCTGCACACAAGCAGTAGGGCACTGGGCCGACGGTGAACAGGTCAGAGATAAAAGACTATCTCTGCTTACCTCCTTCTCCTGGTCTAGCTGCCAGCATAGCAGAACCTAGACAACCTTGGTCATCGGAGGAGGATGACCTCATCAAAAGATCGTGGTATGTTTGTGTATTTTAGTGAACAACAGTTGTCTGGGGACATATACAGCAATGTTTTTAAAATTCCTTTTTTTTATAACTGGTCAGGAGAGACACATTTAAAGTGCACCGTATGATTTTATCCTGGCATGATAACCCTTCAGTAGCCTGATACTCATGGCATTTGGGGCCCCCTTTGTACACTAGATATTTCTCTCTCAAATAGAAACAACAGAAAAAAAGCCTCAGGTTTGTGGACAAAGATCAGGCTGACAGAGTTCTAAGGGGCTTAGGGAAAGGAAAGGAAAGCCTTGTATAATTTACCTTCACTGCTACAAGACCCCAACACAATCAACCACGCCAGTGGTCAGATCCGGACAAGGATAATCTTGGGATTTTGTATCCTCTTAGGAAACGGAAGTATGTTCATATGGTCTCCTCTGAGCAATAACAATGACAACAGATAGCAATAACCATAATGGCAGAAGCTTACGGGGCACATCTGTTATGTATTTATCCTTCCAATATTCTGAGGCAGGTATTGTTATCTCACTGTACAGTGAGAAAACCGATGCTCACAGAGGGTAAGCACCCGGGAAGTCATCAGCTAGGAACGGGCAGAGACGGCACTGAAGCCAGGCTGTGGACAGGCTTCATGTAGAGGCTGGCTTCAATCAAGAAGTCTCATCGTAAGGATATGCTGGTAGTGAGGAAGACAGAAATGCTACAAGAGTCCAACGACATGCTTTGTAGCCAAAGCAACTAGGCAGCAAAAGCTCAAGAGTCTTCCCTCTTGAGTCCATGATGACTGGGGACTCAGCCACACTGCCAGCCCGCTTCTCTGCCTTCCACTAACGCGTGTCCGCTCTGTAAGGACCCCCAAGCCACTCCCTGGTGGCCGACAGCCCGCGGCCCTCAGTCACGTGCGAGAGGTCTGATTCGTGGAGGGCAGCTACAGCAGCGGCTCCGGAGGCCTCAGGACGAGTTACAGGAGGGGCTGGGGGCACAGCGAGCCCCGTGGCTGCTCCGACAGGACCCCCATTTGGATCCTGCCTCACATTTTCGGCATTTACAGCGATTATCTATATCCAAAAGGGGACAAAAAGATAATGCCTCAGTCCCAGTAGTCTATAGTGTACTACTATATAGATACAGTGTACTATATATGTACTATACAGTGTACACTATATGGTCAGTACAGTGTACTGATTATACAGGTAAAACAATATATAGAGAAGAATTTTTGGCTGGTAAGTGCAAGAAGCACTGACAAAGACAGACTGGTAACTTTGGAAAGGTCTTCCTCCCCTCTTCCCTTTGTGTCTGTTTCAATGTCCTGTTTACCAGAATTAAAAGGTGCGTGGGTTCTGATTTCCACTTACCAGGAGGCTGGTCCTTTCCCATCATGACGTAGAGGGGTGGCTCTGAGTTTCCCTGACCATCTGTCATCCCGCACAAGCCTGAGGGATTCACAGTAGGAACTGGAGGGTCTGCCAAACCTCCCAGGCAGGCTCTTGGGGCAGGGTCGACAAGTCACTTCCTAAGCTGGGGCTCACCAGACAGAAAGACCCCCACACGTGACTAGATAGAGCCAGACACATGGACCTGACAGGTCAGAGCAAAAGGGAAGTCACCCCACAGGAATTAAAACCCACCCCTGCCACATTCCCAACCAAAGTCCCAAATGTTCACACTGGGCACTACCTTCAAACTCCAAATGTCTCCCAAGAAGCAAAGAGGCTAAAAATGTTCCTACAGTGAGTAAAACCTCCTTTTCTTGCAAATAAAAACTAATGATGTGAAGAGAAGCCAAAAGATCAACAAACTTTTATGGTATATGTCATCAATCACTGGATAGACTATTTTTTAGGACACTGAAAAACTTTTTCCTAAGAAAATTAGGCTCTAAACGACATGAGTATTTAAATACAATTAGAACAGATCACAATACTAACGCATTTCATTCAGCTGATTCCTGGCAGCACACAGCTTCCTGCTAGAATCAATTTACAAAGGATGCTGGGATGGGGAGGGCATGGAAGGAAAGGGGTGTTCCACAAGCCTTTTTATGAGATGTTACAATCGTGAGATACTCTGCTTTAACAACGCCTCCAGCCTCTTTGAAATACACTTTTAGCAAATAGGAGGACAGGCAGGAGAAAGCACATGAGGTGACTCAAGAAAGGTCTTGAGTAAACAAGAGGGTCTGATTAAAGGCTTTGCCATTCACTAGCCTTGCTCAATTCAGCAAGTCCTTCAACCTCTGAGTTTCAGATCCTTATCCATCCATCCCCTCTCCTACCTGTAAATGAGCACATTAACACCTGCCATGTCTAGTCACAACACATTGAGGATCAAATTAAAATACATACTTAAAACTTTCAAATCCTTAGGTTTAGACATTAGATTTGTCTTTTATAATGACTGCATGGAATCAAATCTTTTTTACACAGCTTTCAATAAAGTAAGGCACGTGTTGAGAATGGGCTCCAGAGTTCACATTCAAAATCAAATGTAAATTTCAGCTCTGCAGATAAATCTGGTAACTGATTTAAGCCTCTGATTCCTCAACTGTAAGAACACACAACTCACTTGACAAAATTGTGAGGTGCATTACACAGTGCTAGGTAGACAGTCGCTACTCCATTAAACACTGGTTTTCTTCTAATCTTGAGGTCTCAAATAAAACTTCTATGCTTATTTTATCAGCTTTGTGTAACATAATAGTATATATGAGATATATCTCATATATAGGGTATATATGAGATATATCTCATATATAGTGTATATATGAGATATATCTCATATATAGTGTATATATGAGATATATCTCATATATAGTGTATATATGAGATATATCTCATATATAGTGTATATATGAGATATATCCCCTGGAGAAGGAAATGGCAAGCCACTCCAGTACTGTTGCTTGGAGAATCCCATGGACAGAGGAGCCTGGTGGGCTACAGTCCACTGGGTCGCAAAGAGTCAGACATGACTGAAGTGACTTAGCACACTTCATATATATATATATATATATATATATATATGATAAATATATATATGAGATATCTCATACATATATGTTATATATGATGTAATACAGTAAGTAAATATACATGCCATGTCCGAAACGAATGCTAAACTCATTTTTTCCTAGAATGTATTTTCTAGAAAATATCCATCCAATGTTTTCAACTCTTACTGTTTCAAAAGCAAAGAAAGTTGAACCCAAAGAAACTTACAGGGTTTTAAAATCCTGACATCTGTCATACAGGAATTTCACCCTTTAATAGTTTCTTTATATATCTATGAATAAGTAACTTAGTATAATTAAAGAAATCAGTTAAAAACTAAGGGCAAATGAACAAAACCTCACATACCCAAAGCTTTACTTTCAAACTTAAGCACTTTGCTGAATATCACACCCGCCACAAGCAGTGAAACGACTTTTTTTTCTTGAAGACACATCAAATACTTAATGTCAACTACAGAAGATAAACAATAGTTTAAACGCTGCAGAGAAAAAAGTTCTCAAGAAAAAAATATTCTGGGGATGTGTGTGTATTTTCCAGTGCATCTGCTGTTTTAAAACTTCATGATACAAACAAGAGTACACTAAAGCTCTAACAATACTTCAATTTCTTACAATAAAAATAATGGAAAAGAATCTGAAAAAAAATCTAAATACATGTGTATAACTGAAACATCTTGCTGTACACCAGAAACACAACATTGTAAATCAATCATACTTCAGTAAAAACGAGAAAAATGGATCCCATATCTGCTTCCCTGCAGACTTAGGCGACATTCAAGGGTGGGTAGGGTTCAGTACTTTCTGACTCCTTGGATCAAGAATTGCTTAGTCCTCAAAGGTACCTTTCTCTCAACGGAAAAACACATTAAAAAATGCCTTAAAGCAAAGTAGTCGGAGGCCAACCCTTCGCTTCACAAGAACTTCCCTAGGTCAATATAAAAGGGGAGGCAGGATGGCCATGTCAGCTACTCCTATCTGATCTGTGTTTGCTATACTTGGCAAGGGAAGCAATCAGAATTCTTAGAAGGAAGTGGACTCTTAGAAAAGCTGAGAAGTGCAAGATTTCCTCTTTGATGGACAAAGAGGGCAGTACTTCTGGTCAACCCAATAAATGGTTTACTGGGAACTGTTTGGACGTTATTCTCTTGTTCTATTTATCTTTATATAGAGAAATAGATTTTCCCTTCTCCTAGTGGCCACAGAACAGTTTTCCATCAACCTTAGTCGTCTGCAGGGTAACTTTTCAATAAATAAATGTGGCACTGGTATGGACTCCATCTTCAGCCCTTGGTAAAAGTTCCCATGATTGGCTGTGCAGTATCTTATGGTCACTGAGTTCAACCACCCAAATGATAATAATACCTGGAACGTGCTAGCACCAGGAATCATCCAAGCAATGCTGCAAGTGTCCAAGGGCAGAACAATCCTCAGTGTGTGCACCCCAAACCTACCAAGTTAATCTGTGGGCTCAGGAATCTGTTGTTTTAACAAGCTCTCAGGTCAATCTCTAGCATGATCAGGTTTGAGAAACTGACTTAAATACTCTAGCATGATCAGGTTTGAGAAACTCACTTAAGAGCACTGCATCTTAAACTTTAACATGCACTTGGATCAACCCAGGAATTCTGCTAAAATACAGATGATAGTTGAGCAGGCTGGGGGTTGAAAATATACCGAGTCTGCATTCTAACCAGGTCCCAGGAGCTGTCAATGACCATATATATTAACATTAGAAGAGCAAGATCTTAGAGAACAGAGTCCAATATTCTTATTCTGTGTAATGTAATAATATATTGGCCACCTAGTCTGGGAACCAGGATGGCATGATGTTGAACAAGAAGAGGTAATAATGGTAGGTAAGAGGACCACTCCCTGAAATATTGTGCATTTTATTTTAGAAAAGCCCATACCTTCCATTTGTATACACTTCAGTCTAGACAGTGAGTGCTCCCGCCGAATGTGTTTCCAGGTACCACGTCATATGACACTGCTGTTTCTAAATCACAGCCTCATACCTGAGGGCTTGCAGTTCTAATTACACAGAGAATGTACATTAATCTAGTCAACTGCTTCTCCTTTACCTGACTTTCTCACCTGCCAAACGAAGGCACCTATAACAACTGATCCAGAGTCTTACATACTTCTTACAGGGACAGTAACATGCATGACCAGTAAAAACAGAAATGGTCACAACTGTTACTGAGATAAGAAAGCAATAAGATAAATGAGTACCTTACCACCAAAAGAACAAATGCTCTCTTGTTTCTTAAGTCAGAAAAATACAGATTTAATGTGAGCTAGGTTCCGCTAAAGCCTGCAAAACTTTTGATCTCTCAGAGGTGAATGTACAAGACACAAAGAGAATAACCCGAGTTTCAGTCCCCAAATGTTTCCCCTGACCATGCTTTAGTTGCCAAATATATCATTTATCATCAGCCTACCTGGAAATGGAGAAGTCTCTTTTCCATTTTACTTAGCAATGATGAAAGAAGCTGAAACATTTTTATTCCATCAGAAGTCTCTCCAAGTCTCAGATTTTCCTCTCTGTAAAATGGGAATAATATTATGTACCTTTTCAGCAGCATCATGAAAATTAACAATTAACTCATGTGACATGCCCAGCCTTATGACTGGGTCAATACAAGAAAACCATCACAACAAGAACAGTTTTATATGATGAGAGTCTCAGGATGAATCAGAGAGATGTCTGCCCAAATATACCTTAGAACGCCACACTAAATGTTGTGTACTGAATGTGTCCCCACCAAAATTCACATATTAAAACCTAATCACTTGGGATTAGCAGAAGCAAATTACTTTATGCGTACTAAGTCACTTCAGTCGTGTCTGACTTTGTGTCAAACTATGGACTGTAGCTTACCAGGCTCCTCCGCCCATGGGATTTTCCAGGCAAGAATACTGGAGTGGCCAGAGTGCTGACGTGCTATTTCCACCCTGTGAGGTCAGGGTGACAATCTGGCAGTTTGTAAGCTGGAGGAGGACCCTCACCAGAGCCTTACCATACTGATCCCCCTGATCTCAGACATCCAGCCTCTACAGTGATGGGAAATTTCTGTTGTTTATAAGCCTCCAGCCTATGGCATTCAGATACAGCAGCCTGAACTAATACACTATACTTAACATCCTAATACTCTTGTATGACTTTCACTAAGAAAGTTTTGGATTTGTTCAAGAGATGGCATTAGTCAAACTATAAACTTTAAGCAGAGGACATTGTATCGCTCAGAGTAAATCCAAAAAGTAAAGTTACTTTCTTCCTATTAACACCATAATATCCTCCTAAAAAAATGAAAGAGGAGCTTTCCTGGCGGTCCAGTGGTTAAAACTCCAAGCTTCCAATGCAGGGGGTGCAGGTTCAATTCCTGGTGAGGGAAGTAAGATCCTATATGCCATGTGGCATGGCCAAAAATAAATATATAAATAAATGAAGAGCTGTGATATCTTTTATTTTAAAATGTACACAAAATACTGGGTTACCTTGGACTCCTGAGCAACAGAACCAAGACATTTCAATTTTCCTTTATATTTCTGTCTTATACACTATTCAGACATGGGACCATCTTAAGCACTGTCCAAGACAAAATAAATTAACTGATCATGTTCCTGACATTCACCTAGAAGACTTTTTTACCCAAGGAGAATAGAAACCAGAATGTATAGCAAAAGTCCCTGGTGTACAGACTTGCACTTTCTCCCAGAGCACAGTAATTCCTTTTCCATACTTTTCCTGGGGTCATCATTTTACAATTCGGTATATTTTCAACCTTGACTCATCTGCAAAACAAGAAAACACACCTGAAATGTTCAAGAAACATAGAATACTATCAGCACTAATTTTCCAAAGGAGAAAATAAACATTAAGGATACACCAGGTCTCACACCAGCCTGAATTCTGAGCAGGTAACAGCTCCTCAAGCTTCATTTTTCCATTTTATGTATTCCCCACCCCTTTGAGCACTCACGATGCAAGCACAAGGCACCATGGTGGACATATGGGAAATGAAACGCCAAGCTGAATCACAGAAAGATCCTACCCTAAGGAATTTCCCAGTCTAGAAAGTGAGCTAAAACACAAAACAAACATATCTTTATATTACAAACTTCACACACAACAACAAAAAACAGCCAGACTCTTTTCCAAGAGGGGATGTCCTTGTAGCAGTAAAACTAAACTAGCTCATATTAGAGTAACATCAAGTATTTCCACCATGGCTGCCCACTGGTAACCACTGCAGGAGACTGTGTCGCTAAGACCACAGCTCTGAAGGCAGACAGCGAGCCGCAGCTCCAGCTCAACAACTGTCCAGCTGAGGTTCTTGGACAAGGTGCTCAACCTCTTTAAGTTCCACTTTATCCTTCTGTAAAGTAGGGATCATTAGCGAACCTCTCCTGTGATGTTTCTGACATACTACACATAGCATGTTGCTTGACCCAAAATCTCATTCAGTTTTCTAGGTGAAAATCAGGCTAGGAATAGCCAGCCAAGGGCTTCCTGAAAAGCGAAAAGAATACATCACAGAAGGAAGAACAGGCAAAGTAGGAACACTTGGAATTCCTATACTCTCAATAACTCATTGCGGTACACACTAGACCAGAAGGTCTTTACCTTGGCTGAAGACCCTCCTCCATTTTGAAACTTATCTGGGACTCACTCTAGAGCCCCTGAATCAGCATCTGAGGTGAGCATCAAGCATCTGTATTAATAAGCTTCAAAGGGGAGCATCATGCATATCTAAGAAACACAAACTACTTTTGTGTTTCTGATGCTTTATACTTTGAAGGCTAATAGAGCCTCCAGTCTTCAAAATCTCAGGATCGCTGTCCAAAGTTCTGTCCAGAAATCTTCCTAATGGGGTTCTCACTGATTTATCAGCGACCTCACCCCAGGTTTCCATTCACTGTGATGGAAAGAAGAGCATCACAGAGATGCCCTCACTGTTCCGTTCACATGTTCTGGCCAAATCATTTCTCCTTGCGTTTCCACATCCTTCTCATTGATCTGCATCAGCCCTGAGTCCTTAATTAATTTATCCAAGATGATGTTGCCACATTGCTTTCAAACATACTTAAGAGTTAACTCTAAAGTTTGTGGTGTCCTAGTAGATACTGCCTAGGTTTCCAACACTTAAAAACACTGTGTGAGGGCATGCAGAATAAGTCTCATCTGACTCTGTGACCCCATGGACTGTAGCCCTATAGGCTCCTTTGTCTATGGGATTTCCCAGGCAAGAATAGTGGAGTGGGCTGCCATTTCCTCCTCGAACCCTCATCTCCTGCATTGGCAGGTAAGATTCTTAACGACTCAGCCACCTGGAAAGCCCATCAAAAACACGAGTTATTCTTAAAAGTTTGAAGAAACAAGAAAATCATCAGTAATTCATATTACTACAATTATGTAATCTTCAGAAGGGAAGAGAGAAGAGAGTCTTGCATTCTGCTTGAAATTTTTTTGTTTTCAATTCAAATCATATTTCAGGACACTATAGTATCATTTAAGCTGGGAGACAGAGAAAATACACTATAGTATCATTTAAGCTGTGAGAGAGAGAAAATATCTACAGAAAAACTTCATTAAAATTACTGAACTTTTATTCATCAGTGTTCAGTTCAGTCGCTCAGTCGTGTCTGACTCTTTGTGACCCCATGGACTGCAGCACACCAGTCTTCCCTGTCCATCACCAACTCCCAGAGCTTACTCAAACTCATGTCCATCAAGTCAGTGATGCCATTCAACCATCTCATCCTCTGTCAAACCCTTCTCCTCCCGCCTCCAATCTTTCCCAGCATCAGGGTTTTTTTAAATGAGTCAGTTCTTCGCATCAGGTGGCCAAAGTATTGGAGTTTCAGCTTCAGCATCAGTCCTTTCTATGACTATTTAGGACTGATTTCCTTTAGGATGGACTGGTTAGATCTCCTTGCAGTCCAAGGGACTCTCAAGAGTCTTCTCCAACACCACACTTCAAAAGCATCAATTCTTCGGCGTTCAGCTTTCTTTACAGTCCAACTCTCACATCCATACATGACTACTGGAAAAACCATAGCTATGACTAGACAGACCTTTGTTAGCAAAGTAATGTCTCTGCTTTTTAATATGCTGTCTAGGTTGCTCATAACTTTTATTCCAAAGAGCAAGAGTCTTTTAATTTCATGGCTGTAGTCACCATCTGCAGTGATTTGGGAGCCCCAAAAGTCTGTCACTGTTTCCATTGTTTCCCCATCTATCTGCCATGAAGTGATGGGACTGGATGCCAAGATCTTAGTTTTCTGTATGTTGAGTTTTAAGCCAACTCTTTCACTCTCCTCTTTCACTTTCATCAAGAGGCTTTTTAGCTCCTCTTCACTTTCTGCCATAAGGGTGGTGTCATCTGCATATCTGAGGTTATTGGTATTTCTCCCGGCAATGTTGATTCCAGCTGTTGCTTCATCTAGCCCAGCATTTCTCATGATGTACTCTGCATATAAGTTAAATAAGCAGGGTGACAATATACAGCCTTGACATACTCCTTTTCCTATTTGGAACCAGTCTGTTGTTCCATGTCCAGTTCTAACTGTTTCTTCTTGACCGGCATACAGATTTCTCAGGAGTGTTCATATCTAAGTATATAAAAATTTTTATTGGAAGGGGGCATGATTAAAGAAAAACAACCTACCTGACTTAGTAATAGATCCAAGCTGGCTAATCAAGCAAGCTGCCATCTGGTCAATCAATTGCCATTTGAAAGGCTGTTCTAAAAATATCTTCATATAAGTAACTAAATCTCATCAAAATGTAATGACTGCTAACTTAATTTATGCTAGCTAGCAGGAAATAAACTTTCACTGTACATTTTGGATTCCTACTTGTAATGCGATTATCAAGCCTCTCCAAGATTCCCAAATAATTTCCCAGAAATAAAGATGAAGTAACATAATCCTGATTCTACCCTACTTTACTGAGTTCTCACTCCAGCCTTGAACTTAGAGCAATTTTCCAGGAGCCATTCAAATAAAGCTAAGTGCATCAACCTGCTTTAGTACACGAGCAGTGAAATATGCAAAACACATATTTTTTACTTACACAAAGCAAATGGCCACAGTACAGAAAACCAAACAGGTTGTTGGCTAGCCACCAACCTGTGAGACTATCTACTCTTCCATAAAGTAACAAAACACAGCATTCCCTGCCTCACACGTTACTGACATTCATATTAAAAAAAGCATATTGTGAACCTTAAAGCTGTATGACTATTAAATACGGACACACATAAAGACTTTTCCATCAAAACTATATGCAAAGGCAAAAGTACAGACATTATAAAAATAGAGAAACAATCCCTTCATTTGGGTTGCTGCTTCTGAAGTGCCAGGCATTCAACTGGAGCCAAGATTTTCTAAGAAACTAGTCTTTCCTAAAGATGTTATGTCAATGGACACCAGATTATACTCGTGACTCTTTTCACATTCGCACAGGCAGATTATCTCACAAAAGCCTCAACAAGTTAAGAGCAGCAAACAAGGAATAAACACCCCAGGACAAATTCCTG